CAATCATCAAGTGATCCATCCCCTATTGCCCATTCCCAGCTTCTGGCAAACAGAGGCTAGGGACACCATCCCTGCCCATCCTGGCTAGTAGGTCCATCAATGGCTATCTTCCATGAATTTATCTAGGTTTTTTTGAACCCTGTTATTGTCTTGGGCTTCACAATGTCCTTTGGCAAGGAGTTCCACAGGTTGACACTGCATTGTGTGAAGACATACTTCCTTTTGTTTGTTTTAAATCTATTGCCTATTAATTTCATTTGGTGACACCTAGTTCTTGTGTTATGAGAAGGAGTAAATAACACTTCCTTATTTACTTTTCCCACATCAGTCATGATTATATAAACCTCAGTCATATCCCCTTTAGTCGTCTCTTTTCCAAGCTGAAAAGTCCCAATCGTATTAATCTCTCCTCATACGGAAGCTGTTGCATACCTCTAATAATTTTTGTTGCCCTTTTCTGAACCTTTTCCAATTCCAATATATCTTTTTTGAGATGGGCCGACCATATCTGTATGCAGTATTCAAGATGTGGGCATACCATGGATTTATATAGAGGTAATCCTGATATTTTCTGTCTTATTATCTATCCCTTTCTTAATGATTCCCAACATTCTCTTAGCTTTTTTGACTGCTGCTGCACATTGAGTGGATGTTTTCAGACACTATCCACAATGACTCCCAAGATCTCTTTCTTGAGTGGTAACAGCTAATTTAGACCCCATCATTTTGTATGTATAGTTCGGATTATGTTTTCCAATGTGCATTACTGTGCGTTTATCAACACTGAATTTCACCTGCCATTTTGTTGTACAGTCACTCAGTTTTGTGAGATCCTTTTGTAGCTCTTCTCAGTCTGCTTTGGACTTAACTATCTTGAGTAGTTTTGTATCATCTGCAAATTTTGCCACCTCACTGTTTACCCCTTTTTCCAGATGTTTTATGAATATGTTGAATAGAACTGGTCCCAGAACAGACCCCTGGGTGACACCACTATTTACCTCTCTCTCTCCTGAAAACTGTCCATTTATTCCTACCCTTGGTTTTGTATCTTTTAACCATAATCCCAAATTATTATTGTGTTTTCTGTGTTTGTAGCCAGGATTGGATGCAGAGATGAAATTTTTAGACACCACTAATGACTGCTTCATGGATCAGATAGCCCTGGAACCCTCAAGGGGAGAGGCAATTCTTGACTTAGTCCGTAGTGGCACACAGGATCTGGTCCAAAAGGTGAATATAGCTGAACCTCTTGGTAATAGTGATCATAATGTAAATACCAAAGAAACCCAATACAGTAGTATTTAACTTCAAAAAGGTGAATTACACAAAAATGAGGAGGCTAGTCAAATGGAAATTAAAAGGAACAGTGAAATGCCTACAAGCTACGTGGAAACTATTTAAAAACACCATAATAGAGGATCTAACTAAATGTATATCCCAAATAATAATAATTAATAAAAAACAGCAAGAGAACCAAATGAGTTCTTTGCCTCTGTTTTCACTGCAAAAGATGTGAGGGTGAAACGATAGTGTAGAACAGAATGAACAGATACATAGATGAACACAATTCATTGGGGAAGAGTCAACATGGCTTTTATAAAGGGAAATTGTGGCTCACTAATAGAATTCTTTGAGGATGTCAACAAGCAGTGGACAAGGGTAATCTGGTGGATATAGTGTACTTCGACTTTCAGAAAGCCTTTGACAAGTTCCCTCACAAAAGTAGGCATTCATTGGAGAAGGTCTTCTCATGGATCAGTAATGGGTTAAATGATAGGAAACAAAGGGGAGGAATAAATGGTCAGTTTTCAGAATGCAGAGAGGTAAATAGCAGGGTCCCCCAGAGATCTGTACTGGGACCAGTGCTATTCAACTTATTCATAAATTATCTGGAAAAGGGGGTAAAGAGTGGGGTGGTAAAATTTGCAGATGATACAAAATTACTCAAGATAGTTAAGTCCAAAGTTGACTGCAAAGAGCTACAAAGGGATCTTGCAAAACTGGATTGACTGGGCGACAAAAGTGGCAAATGAAATTCAATGTTGATAAATGTAAAGTAATGCATATTGGGAAAGATAATTCCAACTATACATACAAAACAATGGGATCTAAATTAGCTGTTACCGCTCAAGAAAGAGATCTTGGAGTCATTGTGGACAGATCGTTCTCTGAAAACATTCGCTCAATGTGCAGCAACTGTCAAAGCTAAACATGTTAGGTACCAATAGGAAAGGGAGAGATATGACAACAGAAAATATCATCGTACCTCTATATAAATCTATGGTACACCCCTACCTTGAATATTGTGTGCCAGTTGCTCCCTCTCAAAAAAGATATATTAGAGTTGAAAAAGGTACAGAGAAGGGCAACAAAAATGTTTAAGGGTATGGAACAGCTTCCATATGAGGAGAAATTAAAAAGACTGGGTCTTTTCAGTCTGGAAAAGAGATGAGTAAGGGGGAATATGATAGAGGTCTATAAAATGATGAATAGGGTGGAGAAAGTGAATAAAGAAATGTTATTTACTCTTTCATATAACACAATAACCAAGGGTCACCCATTGAAATGAATAGGCAGCAGGTTTAAAACAACCAAAAGGAAGTACTTCTTCACACAACACATAGTCAATATGTGGAACTTGTTGCCAGGGGATGTTGTGAAGGTTAAAACTATAACTGGGCTAAAAAAAGAATGAGGTAAGTTCATGGAAGATAGGTCCATCAATGGTTATTAGCCAAGATGGTCATGGATGCAAGGCCATGCTGTGGGTGTCCCAAAACCTCTGATTGCTAGAAGCTGGGACTGGATAACCGGGAACGGATCTCTTAATAATTGCCCTGTTCTGTTAATTCCTTCTGAAGCATCTGGCATTGGCCACTGGTGGAAGACAGGATACTGAGCTAGATGGACCATTGATCTGACCCTGTATGGCTGCTGTTAACAGTATCCTAAACAACAAATATCTTTGCAGACACAAGACAGGTCAAAGAATTCCTCAGTCACATCTTCCTAACTGAATGTCAGGCCACAGGTTTGACATGTTAGTCAACAGTTTCAAACCAATCTTGGAAGATCCCATCTATGGTTTTGGAGACTGTCCGAGATTTACAGTGCATGGAAACTAACAGGGTATTACAGATGGGTTTTAGATACAGTAAAGAAAGGCTATACATCAAAGTCAAAGCCCTTCCTCCATACAACTCCCATATCCCCTCTCTTTTCAGGAGGTGCTGTTAACAAAGGAAGTACAGGCTCATCTGAGTGCTATAGAACAAGTACCTCTGAACTCCAGAAACAAAGGGTTGTACTCCTGTTACTTTCTAATCCCCAAAGGCCTCAGACCAATTTTAGATCTCAGAGCTCTAAACAGATGAATCAGGCAACTTCAGAATGCTATCTCTGGCTTTAATCATTTTGTCTCTGTCTACTCTAGATAAGTTTGCTGCTCTTGACCTTAAAGGGGCATATTTCCATATCTCTAAGGATATCCCACTGCAAATATCTACCTTCTGCCCTTCATTCAGACCACTTCAATACAGAGTCTTACCTTTTGGCCTCTCCGCTGTGTTCTGAGTTTTTACCAAATGTCTGGCTCCAGTAGCATCTCATCTGAGGAAGCAAGGGTTTTTATCTTCTCTTACTTAGACGATTGACTACTGAAGGGCCCGTCCAAAGAAGAATTAGAAGAAGCCATTGAGGTGACCTGCTCTCATTTCAAAATCTTGTGTCCTTATAAACAAGGAGAGGTCCCTTTTTCAGTCAGTCTTCAACTCTTTGAAAGAAAAGCTTTTTTTTCTTGAGAGGTTTTTGAAAATAACCATTTCCATACAGATGCTGGGGCTACAGCCCTTTCAACTGTGTTTTCTGATGTTATTGGGCCTCATGGCCTCTACAACATACATAATTCCATGTACCAGGCTCAGAATGAGGCAGCAGCAAAACTGGCTTAAAATAGAGTACCAAACGACATTCGGCTTTCTGTAATGTGGTGGTTACATCCACAGAACGTCCTCGGAGAATTGAGGGTGATCCATTTGGCTCTCAAGGTATTTCTTTCGCAAATAAGTAATACTGTTAATCAGGTGGCGTTGGCAAGCCCTGGCACAAATTAAGTACTGGATCTTGATCCAGGTCTGAAGTTCATTTTGACAGTGCAGTACTTGAATCACTATTCAATTAAGATTCTGCTCTCTCCTGCCTTTATTGATGTATTGCTTGTCAAACTATCCCAAGAGTAGGAATATGCAGAGGACACTCAAAGAACAAATGAAGGTTGGTTACTTGTAACCAGAGTTCTCTGAGATGCACTCTGCATTTTCACACTCCCTGCCTGCCTTTCCTGCTCCCGCTGAGTCCTAATTCTGTATTTACTTGGTATTGCACTTTAGAGGTTGGAAGGAACTGAGGTGGCCATGCCATGCCCCTTGAGTCTGCATGAGTGTTGCCGGTGGGAGGAGAAAGGGAGGGGTGAGCCACTACTAAAAGGTACCACTGTCTTGCTACACCTACTGGGTGCATTCCAAGAGTGTGAATATGCAAAGTCCATCTCAAAGAACTCCGGTTACAAGTAAGTAACCTTCTTTGTAGAGCTTTTGGGAAATGTAGTCTTCACTTGTGGCCTAACTCTGGATGTTACAGGAGAATAATGCTTACTCACCATTTGCAAAATGATTTGGAAGCTGTGGATGAAAAGTGCTGAGTAGTGTTAAATTCCATACATAAGTAGCTTTAAACACATAATGTCTAAAGACTTATACAGATAGTCTCTCATTAGTTTTCTGTTCATGTGGATTTTGTATGATGCAACTCCCCTTTCTTGGTATATAAACCATAAGTGTGCTTCCTGTTCTACTGTATAGCATATGTAGACTCTCTTCTTAAAACCACATCACCCTCTTTTATGGCTTAAATGTAAAGGTCCGAAGTATTCTTTGGTTTTTAGTTACAACTTGTTCGTGTTTTTTTTTTTAATCCTGTGGTAATGCTGACTGTCTCTACAGAATCTCATGTGAGTGCAATGTCTATTAATGGCTCAACTCGAGCTCCAAGGCGAGGTCAGAACAGGAGTACACGTACATCAAAACAAACTGAAACAGATACAAAAGTTATTGAAGTCCTTTGTAAAGAATATGGTTGTAACTTAGATGAGGTAAGATTTGTGCTTTTTGAAAAAATCACTATATTAGATCTTGGTGTAATGTCCATCAAGCAAGGCGAAATCCAAAAATATGATTAAAACCTGATATTCATTGAGGCAGCAGTAAACAATTTTTTAATTATTTTTTTTACCTGATCATCAGTCTGCTTAAATCCAGTGGTCAGTAGTGTTTTCCCTTTCTCAATATTTCTTCCTCTTGCTATTAGAGTGCATGCAGTTGCCTTTTGATATGGGAGACTAAACTGTGAAATAAAGCATCTAACTTAGTTTTTCTTCGAGTACTCGACATGTGGATTCTACTCATGGTGTGCCCCAGTGCAGCCGATTGCAATGTTTTCATTAGTAGTTTCCAGTAAGGGTTGTGCTCTCCTTCCCTAGGGTATAACAAGCTCAACAACCCCAACTGCCATTGAATTCCTTTGGACCACCCTAAGCGTAGCAAATGGAACAACATTGATGTCCTATTTATAGTTACTTGTTAGGATAGGTTTCAGAGTAGCAGCCGTGTTAGTCTGTATCCGCAAAAAGAACAGGAGTACTTGTGTCACCTTAGAGACTAACAAATTTATTATAGCATAAGCTTTCGTGGGCTACAACCCACTTCTTCGGATGTTAGGATAGTTTAATACTGAGTTACTGTGGCTTTAGTGTTTACTAGTGTGTGTGTGTTGCCTCTAATTTAAAAAAATATAATTCCCGCCTCCCCCCCCTCCCAGTCAATTAGTAGGTTTTTAGTCACATGAACAGTCGAACCCTCAGGCTTCTAAATTATGTGGGGGTGGGGGAGGGGCTATTCCCCCAACAGACGCTCATGACAGGTATCTTTACTGCCCAGGAGAAGAGCATGTTGTTAAATATGTGATCTTCAAATTTATTGAGAAGTGCACTCAGAAAGACAGTCCAGGTTAAAACTCTTCCTTATAGAAAAGTCCATGTGGGCACTTTCAGATTCTGAACAGAGACAGAGTCCAGAAAGTTCTTCAGTACCAGCACAATTCTTGAGTGCTCTGGTCACCAGGGATGGGACTCCTGAGTTTAAGAGGATCATGGAGACCTGAGGAGGTTTCCCAAACACTTTTGGAGCTGCCAGAGATCAGTGCTGTCTGACAAATGTGAAACTTTGAATCTGTTGCTCAGCGCTGCTCCCTATCTCCAGTGCCTGACGAGAGAAGGCTTTCCTTGAAGTCTGCACTGAGGAAGACTGAGGGGGGGAGGGAAGTCTGCACTGAGGGGGGGAGGGATAGCACAGTGGTTTGAGCATTGGCCTGTTAAACCCAGGGTTGTGAGTTCAGTCCTTGAGGGGGCCATTTAGGGAATGGGGGTAAAAAACTGTCTGGGAATTGGGCCTGCTTTGAGCAGGGGGTTGGACTAGATGACCTCCTGAGGTTCCTTCCAACCTGATATTCTATGATCTTTTGGGGGGAGGGATAGCTCAGTGGTTTGAGCATTGGCCTGCTAAACCCAGGGTTGTGAGTTCAATCCTTGAGGGGGCCACTTGGGGATCTGGGCAAAATCAGTACTTGGTCCTGCTAGTGAAGGCAGGGGGCTGGACTCGATGACCTTTCAAGGTCCCTTCCAGTTCTAGGAGATGGGATATCTCCATTAATTACTATTATAATTATTTAAGACTGTGCTGGAGCCTTCAATTCTTCATTGATGTAAAAGGCACTTGTGATGGGTTAGATCACAGAACCTCCCCCTTGGGAGCTGCCACCCGATGTGTCAAGACTACCTCTGCTCCTGCTTTCCCTGCCAGCTCGGGACCCCAGCACCCTGTCTTGCTAAGCTAGACACTCCTGTCTGCTCCAACAAAGACCCAGGGTCTGAATTACTTCCTCCAAAGCTGCAGGTTTACCTGAAAGCAGCTAACAGAACTGTTTCTGTCTTTAACACTCAAATGCCCAACTCCCAATGGGGTCTAAACCCAAATAAATCCGTTTTTTCCCTGTATAAAACTTATACAGGGTAAACTCATAAATTGTTCGCCCTCTATAACACTGAGAGAGAGAGAGAGAGAGATGCACAGTTGTTTGCTCCCCCAGGTATTAATACATACTCTGAGTTAATTAATAAATAAAAAGTGATTTTATTAAATCCAGAAAGTAGGATTTAAGTGGTTCCAAGTAGTAACAGACAGAACAAAGTAAGTTACCAAGCAAAATAAAATAAAACACGCAAATCTATGTCTAATAAAACTGAATACAGATAATCTCACCCTCAGAGATGCTTCAGTAAGTTTTTTTTCCCTCAGACTGGACACGTTCCATGCCTGGGCAAAAATCTTTCCCCTGGTACAGCTCTTGTCCCAGCTCAGGTGGTAGCTAGGGGATTCTTCATGATAGCTCCTCCTCCTTTGTCCTGTTCCACCCCTTGATATATCTTTAGCATAAGGCGGGAATCCTTTGTCCTTCTCTGGGTTCCCACCCCCTCCTTCTCAATGGAAAGACACTAGGTTAAAGATGGATTCCATTTCAGGTGACATGATCACATGTCACTGCAAGACTTCATTACCCACTTGCCAGCACACACGTATACAGGAAGACTTGCAGGTAAAACACAGCCAGCTGCAGACAATTGTCCTGGTTAATGGGCGTCATCAAGATTCCAAACCACCATTAATGGCCCATGCTTTGCATAATTACAATAGGCCCTCAAAGTTATATTTCATATTTCTAGTTTCAGATACAAGAGTGGTACATTTATACAGATAGGATGATCACACTCAGTAGATTATAAGCTTTGTAATGATACCTTACAAGAGACCTTTTGCATGAAGCATATTCCAGTTACATTATATTCACTCATTAGCATATTTTTATAAAACCATATAGACTGCAATGTCACAGCACTCATAACAGATTTATTTGGGCATAAGCTTTCATGGATAAAAAATCCACTTCTTCCGATGTATGGAGTGAAAATGTGGGTTTTTTACCCACGAAAGCTTATGCCCAAATAAATATGTTAGTCTTTAAGGTGTCACCGGACTCCTTGTTGTTTTTGTGGATACAGACTAACACGGCTACCCCTCAGAGATTACACATTTTCCTTCATCTGGGTGATGGGTTTGTACAAGGAAAATCTCGGGAACAGGTGACCTTAGAAGTGAAGAAGATCCTGTTTTCATCCTTAGGTTTGAAAATCAATTTAAAAAAAATAGAATCTGGTTCAGGTCTAGCTGATGGAATTTGTAGGGGCTCAACTAGATTCAATAGCAACAAGTGCATTTCTTCCACAGATTTCAGACCATAAGGCACTTTATCCTCTACTTTCAAAATCACACTCAGGCATCAGTGAAGATATTTCTCAAACTTCTAGACCATATGGTGTCACGTAGCTTTGACTTCTTTGCCCATCTGTGATTGACCTTTTCAAGCTTGGATCAAGTCAATATACAAACCAAAAATGCACAACATAATTTGGACTCTTCACTTTCAGTGATCAGTTTTAAACTCTTTGAAATGATGGGACAACAAAAGAAAATGTACATGTGGGAATAGCAGTTGCTGTTCCAATACCATCTACAATTCTGATGTATCCATGAAGCACTGGGGAGCACATATAGGTCTGATGCTGACTCAATCTGTGGCCTCATGGGGAGTCCTACATACACATAAATGTTTGAGTCTAGTAGCAAGGCATTTTTACCACTGATCAAAGATTCTTTCATCCAAACTCTCATAAACAACTGCACAGTAGCCCACTACATAAACAGAGAGGTGCCAGATCAGTTCTATATCAAGAAGTTTCAGATCTGCAAGAATGGTGTATCCAGAATCGTATCAATTTGATAGCTCTCCACCTTGCAGGGGAGAACAGTGGCTTAGCAGACTCACTAAGCAGAAAAGTGACTGTCTCGTGAGTGGAGTTAAATTATTCATTATTGGCCAAATCTTCTAAAGGTGGGAGGGTTTCTCCAGATATACCTGTTGCTTCAAAGCATCTGTTTTGTTCTCAAGCAGGAAAGAGTCTGGGATCTATAGTGGAAGCTTTCATGATTTGCTGGTCACTCCATTTGATGTATGCCTTTCCTCCGTTTTCTCTAACTCCAGGGGTGTTAAGGAAGATAAAGCAAGGAAGCTTGAGGTTATACTGATAGCTCCCACTTGTCCTTGCCAGTTCTGGTTTTTGTAACTCCTGATTTTGACCGATCGTCAATTTATCATGCTTCTGTTTCAGTACAACATGATATTGCAGAACCATGGCTTAGTTTTTCACCCGAATCCAGCATTGCTACATCTCATGGCTTGGGTGGTTTCTGGATGTCTTCATTAGGTAGAGAATATTCTTCAGAAGTACAGAATAGCTTACTTCAGAGCAGGAAATAGTCTGCTTTCATTTTGAAGTATATGTAATTCTTGCAATCTCCTTATGGGTATTATTAAAGGGTCACATTACTTCTCAGTGTTCTAGTCCAAAAATCTTAGGTTATTTATTATATTTAAAACATTCCAGTTTGGTTCTTCAATTAAGGTAGATTTGGCAGTGCTATCAACTTTTCATCTGCATATAGAAGGTTTTGGTTTTCTCTCATCAGTGAGCAGATTTCTGAGAGGCCTGTTTTTTTTTTTTTTTCCCTTCTATAAAAAAAGATTACTCCAACATGGGATTTAAATCTAGTGCTTTCCCTTCTCTAATGGAACTCCCTTTTAAATTCTTTATCAATCTGTCCAATTCACTTTTAATCAATGAAGGTGGCATTATTAGTGGCAGTTACCTTAGCACGTAGGATAAATGAATTACAAGAATTAATGGTTAACCTTCCTTACACAGTTTTTCATATGTACAGGGTAACTATGAGATGTCATCCATCTTTTATTCCAAAAATATTGTTGGACTGTCATATCAATTTCTTCTTTTACCAATTTTCTTTCCAAGACCTCGTTAGTCTCCAGCTGAAGCTAAATTACATACCTTGGCTGTGAAAAGATTCATTGTTCTACTCTCCGGATAGAACTAAATCTTCCTGTAAAACGTAAAGATTTTTTATTGCTTATGGTAATAAATCCCAGGGAATGGCTGCTTCATCTCAAAGACTTCATCTCAAAATGGGTATCTGATTGTATTTAAAGTGCATATATTAAGTCCCCTTTCAAACATTTGAACTCATTCTACCAGAGCAGAAGAGACCTCAGTTTCATGTCTAAGTCAGGTACCAATACTGGAGACTTGCAGAGCAGTTACCTGAACTTTAGCTCAAATGCTTACAAAACATTATTTATTAGTGAATGCTTCTAGTACAGGTGCCCATTTTGGAAGGGTGGTTTTGTAATCTTTTCCTCCCTCTTCCCCAAATAACTCTTAGCTCCCACCTCCATTTGAGGTTACTTCTAGCTGATCATCAACATTGGGATCCACATATGCAGTACAAAGGAGGAACATCACTTTATCTAATAGTAACTGATTCTTCAAGATGTCTGCATGTGTGGATCCCAAGTCGTCCCCCTCCCTTCCCTGGAGCTTGGAGTCTTGGATTCTGAGCGGTGAAGAAACTGGGTGGCAATTGGGGTCATTGCTCACTGTATGCCCTCGGGAGAGGGAGTGCAAGGACTTGAGAAGTGTGAGCATGACTCTTACAGGATGCTGATAATGGAAACACCAAGCTATACTGCTGGGGCACTCTCACACTATGAATAGGATGCACATGTGAAGACATCTTAAAGAACCACAGACACTAAGGTAACTGCTCTTTTAATCCGCATATTAGCATGTAAGAGAGGGATATGATGAATATCTGCAGTCTACTGTGAACAGAAACTGAAGAAACTGGAGCTCGAAAGAGTACCTTCCCCCCCCCCCCCCCCCCCCAGTTTGACCCTTCCGTTTTTTAGCAGTGGATGTAGATGTTCACACACAGTTTAGTAATTAACTGAAATCTTCAGCTGTGTGGATAGTTCTTTATTTCTGACTGAATGTTTGAAATTAAGTACTATGAGGTAATTTAAGAATAGCTTATAACCGGGGTCAGCAACCTTTCAGAAGTGGTGTGCCGAGTCTTCATTTATTCACTCTAATTTAAGGTTTTGCGTGCCAGTAATACATTTTAACGTTTTTAGACGGTCTCTTTCTATAAGTCTATAATATATAGCTAAACTATTGTTGTATGTAAAGTAAAAAAGGTTTTTAAAATGTTGTTTAAGAAGCTTCATTTAAAATTAAATTAAAATGCAGAGCCCCCCGGACTGGTGGCCAGGACCTGGGCAGTGTGAGTGCCACTGAAAATCAGCTCGCGTGCCGCAGGTTGCCTACCCCTGGCTTATAATAAGCTTAACACAGTCAATTTGTTTTGCTGTCTTGTTTGTAAAAATAATGTATGTTTAGTACCTCTATACATTGGTAATGTTATGCCATTTTACTTTTTCCAGGTCAAAAATGTATATTTCACAAGCTTTATTCCGTTCTTGAATTCTGTTGGTATTGTAACTTCAAATGGACTTCCGGAGGTAATTAGAGTAATTAAAAATATTTGTTAAATATACTGTGGTTCATTCTAAAATGTTTAAGATCACGTAAGTGTCCTTTCACTGTACTGCAGTTCTAAAGTTGTCACTGGAAGAAGCCTATAATGGATTAAGGTGTGTTTCACAAGAAAAAGTGACTTAATAGGATTTCCAAGATTCACAACAGGCCTTTTGTTTAAGTGTCTTCTTAATATATAGGATATACAGTTGTTTTTTTTTAAAATTTTATTTAAACTTTAAGAATGCGCTTCCTGGGGATGAACTTGTTACTCTTCTCAAAATGAAGTACAATTTTAAACCGTGCTTCATTCCTCTGATTTTAATAGGTTATTTAATGCTACAGCAATATAAAGGCTGCAAAATCAAGCAAATCTCTCTTAAAATTAATACTACACCTTCTCAAATTTAAATTTAATTCAACCTGGTTAATCTGCTCTTGGATATATAAATATCCTCAAGATTTAGGCTGTACTCTTGCAATTGACTAAACTGTGGACTGCTGTACCTCGCAGAGAGCCCTCTTCACTTCATTGGAGCTCAGTGTGGGTGCAGCAGTCTATCTACATGTATTACAATTGCCGGACTGAGGCCTTAAGCAGTAAGCATTTATGAAGCATAAGATGTATTAATTTGTTTTTTTTCAAATTGGTTTAAAAATAGCCTTTACACAATTAAACCTACTGTGATTCAGTCTGTATTCGTGGCAAAGCTGGTAACTGGAAAATGTTTTATTGAAGCTGTTGTGTAAACCAGAATCTCCACACTTCCTGGAGAGCTATATTTTATTCAGGCTCTTAACAGGAATGAACAAAGCAAAAACATAGGACCCACTACAGACCTCTTCTGTCTTGAGTTCCAAGCCCACTACTACTTTGATAGTCTTTACCAACAGTAAACTTACAAGAAAAACAAAAACAGTCCCTAAGCATAGGAGACTCACGCCTTCCAGCTCTGGCTGAACTTCCAGTCATGCTCAGGCAAAGTTAGCACACTACATAGTTCCTAGCTGACAGATTAATGCAACCTACCTACAAAACAAATCCGTTGTTTAACTATTGCTAGTTCTACATAAACCTCTCACACAGAATTTTAACATCAAAACCACCTGAAAAACATTATCTCCCAAACTCTGTGAATGAGAATCATATGAGATGGTACTTCAAATTACTGCAAGATTACAAATTCTACCTTCTTTAAAAATACCATCATCACTGGATTCTCACTCTTCCAGAGTGAGGAACTCCAGAGATACCCCAAAATAAAGGACTATACACAGTGCAATAGGCAATGGTCAAATGAAGGCCTGTACAAAACTAGCAACAAATATTTCTCTCAGAATTTTCAGCCTTAGTTGTGATCAGTGCTATAGGACCTAGTAGCCAGGGCCGGCGCAACCCATTAGGCGATCTAGGCGGTCGCCTAGGGCGCTACAATTTGGGGGGCGGCGACCACAGCAGTATTTCGGCGGCGGGACCTTCTGCTGCCTCTGTGGGGGGTGGCATTTCAGGGCAGGACCTTCCACCGCCTAGGGCGGCAGAAAAGCTGGCGGCGCTCCTGCTAGTAGCATGTGTCATTTCCATAAATAGCCGTTAGCATTGGATATAAATATATTTAGACTAAAATTCCTTTTTCAGAAGTAAGCAAAACTGCCTGGGCTGCTTAATGTTAATGTTTAAATCCCCTTATAGGTGTGCATGTGACATTCATACTTGTGGTAAATATGGGCGTTGGAGGTGAATTCACACTTACAGCTGCTGTTTTTGGTAAAAATTTGTGCTAGGTGAACAAGGCGGCAGCAGTAGCAGCCGCTGACTGGTTTATGATGTAAGGCTGATTTTCTGAAATGGAAAAGAAATCTATTTTAAAAAACCTTAATTTTCAGAAAATTGTGGGGTAGTAAATGCTTTCCTGCCAAAAGACACATGTTGAACAAGTTATGAACATACTGTATGAAAAAAGGGGGTTATAATGGAACTCTGAAGATAATCTGACTAGAGTAAAACATATAATTATATAATCATGGGGATAAATGATGTGTTACAGCTGAGATTTGCCTGGAGCAGCTGAGAGTGGAGAATTAAAAGTGGCGCTAAGCATCCCAATCTTGGGACTGGCTGGTGTATCTCAGCCTCACGTGCAGCTTAGGTTTGGTCTCCACTCAAATTATATTGCCATAGCTACGTTGGTCAGAGGTGTGCAAAAAACACACCTGTGACTGACATAGTTATGCTGATAAAACCCCCAGCATACAAGCCACTATGTTGATGGAAGAATGTTTCTATGGACATAGCTGTGTCACTCAGGGAGATGGTGTCCCTACAGCAACAGAAAAACTACTGATGTAAGCTGTGTCTACACTAGGAGGCTATGTTGTCATTGACGTCTACACTATGGAGCCTTAGCCTTAGAGTGGTCTGTCTTCTATGCTATCTGGGGATTGGTAGAGCACAGCAGGAATCTGGGCACACATCCTGCCTCCAGCATGCTGAAGCGTATTATGGGGGTAGGTGGCATAGAGCCAGTTGAGCTGACTCTGACACCTGTGAGCATCCTCTGATAGCTGCCTAAGATGTGTTTATAGCCATATAGGAGCAGTGCAAAAACTGTAGTAGGGGCCAATATCTGGCCAGTAACTTTAACCCTCCCTCCCCCAACTCCTATGTTGATGCTCAGTTTAAAAAAAAATATATAAAAACAAAAAAACTGTGCAGTCTTGAAGCTTCATAAACATACTGCATATAATTGCCTAGGGATTTTTTTAAAAGAAATAAGACAAGGTCACGCAGTGGAGAGATCTAATAGCTGCCAGACAACCTGCTCTTGGGTCATGGATTTCAAACTTCCTGGCCTCTGAGGCACCAGTGCATTCTGGAGCTCCAAACCTAAGAACTTGGGAGATTTGAATTGAATCTGTGATTGCTTCTTTCCCTATCCAGCCAGACCCTGCTCTCACAGCACAGAGCTCCAGATATATAGAAAGGTCTTCCCAGGAGTCAGTGTATTTAAAAAATGCCACTTATTTGTAGGCATACCACTCCTACTCTCTAAAAGACTTGGCCCATTTCAATGAAATTTCAGCTATTTTCAGGGCTCCAGGAGAAATTTCTGAGGAAATGTGGGCTCCAAACTTCAATTTTTCCATCTCGTAATAGGCTGCTGCAGGGGCCAGGGGCAGGGCCAATGGCATCAGCTGCCAAAGCCCAGCTGCCCTGGGGACCGCTGCTGGGAGCAGCGGCTGCTCCAGCAATGGCCGGTGTTGCGGTCCCTGGGGCCACCTGAGCAGCTGGCCCCCAAGCCAGCTGCTTGGGCGGCCCTAGCATCAGCCACACTGGCCGCTGCACAAGTCATGGAATCCGTGTCTTCTGCAACCTCCGTGACAGACACAGAGCCCTAATTATATGTATAGTGAAATGACTTTGGGAACTGAGAGATTTTGTCAAAATAAATTAAATATCTATATTAAAATACAGAATGAAACCTTCCTCTCCCTAGTTCATGAATACAATATTCAATACATTCTCAGAATTGATCCTGTAAGAATAAAATTTTCACATTTTTCAGGTTGAGGATCTCTCGAGACAATATGAAGAGCTTTACCTGAAAAATAAAGATATAGATGCACGATTATTTCTCGATAATGATGAAACTTTACAGCGTAATCACATAGAATGGTAACACTCTCTTCTTAATTCTTTTTACTTCTATATAATATATAAAGATCTGTCTGGTCACTTTTTACACTGGAAATTCAGGTCCTGTCTAGCCTGAAAGTTTTTTTTTTTTTTGTTTGTTTGTTTGTTTTTTAGGCTTGTTAGTCAGGTAACACATTTTTAATCACTGTCCTGGCTGGTCTAAACTAGGTGCTAACTGATATGTAAAAACATATTAACATATTCACTAACATATTTTAACATTGCTTATTTTCCCATTCTACACAAGTCCCTGGAGTCATGAGTGCAAGTTGAGCAATTGAGAGAGGAATGGGTTCTCAGGGCTTGTCTACATTGCCCCACAGTTTGGCCTACAGGAGTGAGTGCAACCAAAGTGCTGCACTGTAACTCCTCCATGTGGACTCTGCAGGCATGAGTTTTAGTTCATGCTCACAGTGCCTAGGGTTACCATACGTCTGGTTTTTCCCGGACATGTCCGGCTTTTTGGTAATCAAACCCCCGTCCAGGGGGAATTACCAAAAAGCCGAACATGTCCGGGAAAATACTGGCCGGGCACTTCCCCTCCCGCGGCTGCTCTGCTCCTCCCCTGACTCTTCGGCTCT